AATAATAATAATAATAATAATAATAACAAACATTAATAATAAAAAAGCAAATGCTCAGTGATACTCAGTAATAATCCAGCAAGTTTTGCATATAACAAAAATAATGTAATAGTCCTTTTAAACTCTGCAGACTTCTCTTATTAGCAGAGAAAGCGTGTGTGAGTGTTGTATCAGCAGTGAATGAATGCTTTGGCCTCATAAGCGTGTAATTTGAAGCACTTTGCGTTCACACGGTGATGTTTTTCCTGGAGTCTGGTCTTTTATTTGGGCTTTGGGGAGAGATGAAGGTCCGTGAAGGGCAAACATTAATGTATAATGACTATCTGTGGATGGAGGAAGCAGCAGACGGAGGAACAAACAGCGTCTGCCTCTGCATTCTGTCACACACACACACACACACACACACATACATGAGCTCGATGAATGGAGATGCTGTGAATGGAAATTTATCAGCTCTTAACAGCTCTAGACACTTCTTAAGAAGTCTTTGTTTCTTTTGCAAGACAATAAAGACGTCAAACTCCATCAGCGGTGGTGTTGAGTGACAGCAGGATGTTGTAAAACGCTTAACATTACATAATGCAACAATAATGAGGTCATTTCATGCATTTTTTAGGACACTGTTGTCATCTTTAAGCCATTTACTGTGCGTAACTTTAATGTGAATGTATGCGTGTGTGTGATGTTTTATTATGTATTTTTGACAATTGTTATCTTTACCTGATTTACTGTTTGTAGATTATAAATGTGATCATCCAATCATCCAACTATCCATGCATCCATCCAACTATCCGTCCATACATCTATCTAACAATCCATTCATCCATCCATCCATGCATCCATTCATTCAACCATCCATCCATCAATCATGCATGCATCCATTCATGCAACTATTTATCCATCCATCCATCCATCCATCCATCCATCCATCCATGCACCTATTCATCCATCTATTCATCCATCTATCCATCCATCTATCTATCTATCTATCTATCTATCTATCTATCTATCTATCTATCTATCTATCTATCTATCTATCTATCTATCTATCTATCTATCTATCTATCTATCTATCTATCTATCTATCTATCAATGTATGCATCCATTCATCCAGTTATCCATCAAACTATCCATCCAAACTATTCATCCATCCATCCATCCATCCAATAATTAATCAATCAATAAAAATAAATAAATGAATGAAAAATAATTGAATAAATAAAAAGAAACAAATAAAACAAATTAATGAATAAAATAAAGTAAAAATCAGAAAGTGATATTCTAAACACCAAATTCAGTATATTCATTGTTTAAAAATATTTTATGCACACACAATTTTCAAAATGATTACATACAAATAAATTAAAAATTAAAAAACATGTTCTATCACCTGTCAAGTCCTTTTATATTAAAAAAACTGTTTTTGAACATTAAATGTATTATTTATTAGTAGTAGTATAATAATAATAATAATAATAATAATAATAATACTAATATCAACAACAACAACAACAAAAATAATAATAACCATAACAATAACAAACACAACAATAATAATAATAATAATAATATTAATAATAATAATAATTATAATAATAAAATAAAATAATAATAACAATA